ACTCTCCCACCGTTCAGCTCACATCCAGGCCCTGGGCTCTGCAGCAAACAAGACAGGCTGGGCCGGCTCCCCACCCTGGTTCTCCTCCTCTCAGCCCCTGGCCTCAGGCCCATCTAGGCTGTCCTCTTGCGGAAACCAAAACTGGGGGTCCAGGAATGCGGGTCCATCTGCCCTGTGCTGGGAACGGGGCTTTGCAGCCTGGTGTTAGGTTGAGGCCATGTCGGGAGCGCCCTCTGCTGGCCGGTCTGTTCCTCATGGGGCCCTGAGAAGGCTCAGGAAGGGGCTGGCGCGTGCGGAGAGGTCAGGAGGGCATCCCCCCACCCTGGGGCGACCACCAACCTCTGTCTTGGTGGAGAGGGAGGAACAGAGCAGAGGCCAGAATAGGGGAGAAGTTGGTTTTAAAGCAGAGGTTTTGGCCGGGCGCGGCGGCTCACACCTGTAATCCCAGCACTTTGGGAGGTCGAGGAAGGTAGATGCTTGAGCCCAGGAGCTTGAGACCAGCCTGGGCAACATGCTGAAATCCCATCTCTACTAAAAACAAAAATTAGCTGGGCGTGGTGGTGGTGGGTGCCTGTAATCCCAGCACTTTGGGAGGCTGAGGAGGGTGGATCACCTGAGGTCGGGAGATCGAGACTAGCCTGGTCAACACAGTGAAACCCCATCTCTAATAAAAGTACAAAAGTTAGCCGGGCATGGTGGTGTGAGCCTGTAATCCTGGCTACTTTGGAGGCTGAGGTGGGAGAGTCATTTGAACCTGAAAGGTGGAAGTTGCAGTGAGCTGAGATTGCACCCACTGCACTCCAGCCTGGGCAACAGAGTGAGACTCTGTCTCAAAAATAAAGAAAGAAATAAAAAAGAAAAGAGAGAGAGAGAAAGAAGGAAGAAAGGAAAGAAAGAAAGATAGAAAGAGAGAAGGAAGACAAAAAGGGAAGGGGGAAGGGGAGGGGAGGGAAGGAGAAAGGAAAGCAAGCAGAGGTTTCAGGCCTGATGTACCTGGGGCAGCTTTGCCTGCAGCTGATACCTTCTGTAAGTCTTACCATAGTGGCCAGTGTTTTAAAACAGAGCTAGCAGACAGCACTTCCAAGATCTGCCCACTCTGGGTCCACACGTCTCTGTGCATGGTTGGAAGGAGATGGGCAGAATGGGCTGGGGGTGTGTGTTCCTGTTAGCCACAGACCCCACGAACCCCTATTGCCCTGTGCCCTCCTGCCTCACTTAGGCATATTTATCCTCCTGGCCCTGTGGGCATTTGAGCCGCTCCTTGACCCCCCAGAGAGCCCGGAGCCTTTAGCCAGCAGGTGGTGTGGGGAGGCCTGTGGGCGTGAACTGCCAGGGCCTGCAGCCTCCTTCCCCAGCAGCTGTGTTTCCCCAGACAGGCCCAGCTCAGGGCATCTGGCTGAACCCCACCTCAACTCCAGAGAGAGAACTGAGGGGGAGACAAGTTCTCCCAGAGATGCAGCTCAGCATGCTGCGGGCAGACTGCCCCACTTGGTCTCCCACAGCCGCTTTAGCTGGAGACAACACCCTGCTGATGTCTTTGGGTCTCTGGAGGTGTCAAGGAGTATGTGGGCGCCTTCCAAGGGGACTCTGCCATGGCACAGGGGAGGAGCAGATTTAAGTCAACTCTGAAATTTGCTTCTGGTCAGCAGGGTGATGGGCATCTCATGTGATGGGAAGGCAGGGCCTCAATGAAAGCCAGGGCTGCAAGAGCCCCGGAGGAGGCCAGGAAGGCTTCCTGGAGGAGGTGTCTTCTGAGCTGAAGTGGCAGGTCAGGGAATGAATGGGCCATTGGGGCTGCAGCACTGGGCTGAGGCCAGATCAGACTGGAAACTATGCTTTGTGCTGAGGGCAGTGGGAGCCATGGAAGGTGTGATAGGAAGGGCAGACAGCTCCTACAGCAGGACACCTGGAGACCATAGCTCCCTGTACCCCATTTTATGGATGGGGAGACTGAGTATCAATATTGCTTCAGGGTCTGGAGCTCCTGTGGTCTGGTTTGCATACAGGAGTGAAGAGAAGGGCCAGCTCCAACTTTCATTTGCTGAGCAACCCAGAGTGAGTCACTCCACCCCCCAAGCCTGTTTGTACATCTGTAAAATGAACCTTGCACTCCACACCTTGCTGAGTTTGGGGGAGAAGGTGCAGGCCTGGCCCAGGTCATCCCCAGCCTCAGCCACCCCACAATAAGCAAAGGGCCTGTCATTTCACACTTTCACACTCTCACCTTGCATGGCTATTGGGGAGGCAGAGCTTGCAGGGAGGAAGCCTTTTACCTGCAGAGAGGCTGAGGCCCAGAGAGGGTGAGCAGGCAGCTCCGTCTCAAGGCCAGGACATCTTCCCTGCCGGGCTCATAGCCCCCAGGAGCAGGAGCAGCCAGGCCTGACCACAGATCCAGGCCCCGCTGTGTAGGTCCCCACTTCCCCATGTCCCAGTCCCGCCCATGTCTAGGGCTTATATGACCACTGCCCCAGCCCCTCCCGGTGGACACAAAGGCCAGATCTCCCGAAGAGGCAAAGAGGCGGCAGGAAGGGGCTCCTGCCAGCTGGGCCATGGATGCAGGCGGGGAAGTGAACGGAGACAGGAAGGAAGCCGCACAGTGGGAGACTGGGCCGCCATTGTGTCACCTGGGGGTGAGGGTGATGTGGTCCGCCCTCAGATGCCTCCCCAGCGCTGGAGGGCAGTGTGGGTCGCTGGACCCTCCTCTCCGGGTCCCAACCTCCTGCAGACTTCCTGTCTCCACCTCAACCTCAGTTTCCCCATTTATAAAACCTTAGCAGTCAAGATCTTTGGGAATTATACAGTAGCATTAAAGCAAGTGCCAGGCCGGGCACAGGTAGCTCAGGCCTGTGATCCCAGCACTTTGGGAGACTGAGGCAGGCGGATCACCTGAAGTCAGGAGTTTGAGACCAGCCTGGCCAACATGGTGAAACCTAGTCTCCATAAAAAACTTAAAAATTAGCCAGGTGTGGTGGCGCACACCTATAATTCCAGCTTCTCAGGTGGCTGAGGCACGAGAATTGCTTAAACCTGGGAGGTGGTGGTTGCAGTGAGTCAAGATTGTGCCACTGCATTTCAGCCTGAGTAACAAAGCAAGACTATATCTGAAAAAATAAATACATTAGTGAGGGATGGTGGCTTATGCCTGGAATCCTAGCACTTTGGGAGGCTGAGGTGGATGGATCACCTGAAGTCAGGAGTTCAAGACCAGCCTAACCAACATGGCAAAACCCCACATCTACTAAAAATACAAAATTAGCTGAGTGTGGTGGCTCTCGCCTGTAATCCCAGCTACTCGAGAAGCTGAGGCAGGAGAATCGCTTGAACGAAGCCTTCAAGGGAGACGAAGGCCGCAGTGAGCTGAGATTGCACCACTGCACTCGTCTGAGTGACAGATTGAGAATTCGTCTCAAAAACAAAACAAAGCAAAACAAAAAAACAAATGCTAGCCATTGTCTAGGCACGGTGTCGTCTGAATTAACTCACTGAGGCAGAAAGACCTACTATGCTGAAGGCAGTTATTGTCCCATTTCACAGAGGTCCCCAGAGCTCAGGGCCTTGCCCAGAGTCATGCACAGAGAGTGGTAGAGCTGAGGCTCTAACCAAGGCAGCCATTTTCAAGTCCAGCTCCCCCTCTGATCTCCTGTCTGTGCAACTACAGAGCTAATACATTCATTCATTCATTCATTCATTCATTCATTCATTCATTCAAGACAGGAGTCTTGCTCTGTTCAGGCTGGAGAGCAGTGGCGTGATCATGGCTCCAACCTCCTTGGCTCAAGCAGTCCTCCTGCCTCCGCCTCCTGAGTAACTAGGACCACAGGTGTGAACCATCCTATCTGGCTAATTTTTGTATTTTTTTGTAGAGATGGGGGCTTGATATGTTGCCCAAGCTGATCTCGAACTCCTGGGGTCTCAAGGGATCCTCTGGCTGTGGCCTCCCAAAGTGCTGGGATTACAGGCATGAGCCACTGTGCCTGGCCTAATACTTTCCTTTAAGTAAATGACTTGTTAAGGTTAAACATATGTGGAGTTTCATCCTAAATTGTTATATCGCCAGTTTAATGTTGATAAATAATAGACAGATTGGTAGGTGGGTGGATAGTTGAACAGTAGATGATTGATGATGATGATGGATATAGATGATATATACGTGATCGATGATAGATATTGATGATAGATAGGTAGAGATAGAGATGAATAGATCTGATCTATAGAATAGATACCCCATGTTGGTAATTGCAGTAGAATTAACACCCAATTATGAAAACTCCCAGGTGAGCCCCTGAAGTCACCCTCCCACCCTGGGGCTCTTGGGCTCTGTCATCGGGAGGCTGAGCCCTTCAAAGACCAGAGGCAGAGCCACAACTCCCATTGTATAGATGTGGAAACTGAGGCTGGTAGGGGGGTTTGTGGACAGTCATGCAGCCAGGAGGAGCAGGCCTGGGAGACTCTCCCCACAGTGCTCTTGTTCAGGTATGAGGCCTCCAGGGGCTTCCTCCACCCACCCCACGCCAGCCTTGCTCTCACCACACACACACACAGGAGGCTGCTGGAACTGTCGCGTGTCTCCCTCCAGGTGGGATGGGAGAAACAGGAAATGCCCCGAAGGAAGTAGGAGGAGAAGGAAGCCTCGGGGCCTCCAAGGAGATGGCTTAGACCGGGCAGAACATGAGTTCCCCAGGGCTGACCCTCCCCTCCAGGGCTGAGCCATGGCAAGAGCCTGAGCTCAGTGGCCCTGGGTGGGGACCTGCCCAGGCCACGCCTGCCCCTGCCTTTCTGTCCCCTGGGCCCCGATGGGACCTTCTGGCCTGTAGCCAGGCGCCCTCCCCAGATCGGATGCCATCCGACACCCTTCCCTGGTCCATCCCAACCCCTAGAGCTTCAGCGACCTGGGGACAAAGTGAGAGGGTTGGGTCTTCTCTGCAGTGTCGGTCTCACTGTCCGCCAGCCCCCAGCTTCCAGTGCTACATAGCACTGGCCCCACCTCAGCCTCCCTCACCCACCCTGCAGCAGCCAAGTGCCTGCAGCCTGCTCAGAGTTTATTGAAAGTGGAGCGAGGGGAGCACACAGGACCACAAATCCCCTCCCCTAGTGGCTCCAGGGTGGGGCTCCAGGTGTCCTGGACATGGGATGAGCCGAGGCTTGCTCCTTGGGCCGCAGGTGCTGCTCAATAGCCCCGGTCCCTGTAAACATCCAAGGCATGCCTCTTAACTCCCACCCTGCCCATGCACAGACCAGGGCGGGAGGCGGACCGCGGCCTTGCTCCCGTGGCCCTGCTCCTGTGGCTGGATGTGCAGGGCTGGCAGAGAGGGGAGCAGGATGGGGTGCCAGGCAGACAGCCCCCTCCCCAGGCAGAGGAGGGTCCCCAGATCAGGGACTTCCCTGCTGGGGTGGGTAGTGTGGGGCGGGAATGGGTAGGGCCCTGGGTTGGGGGCAGGGACCTTACCCCCAGCTCAGGCCCCTTTTGGCCAGCTCCACCTGTGCCAGGTGGTGGTCACTCAGCACCCGCACCCTGGTGATGGCGCCCAGTGGCCTCTGACGGTGTGGGAACTGCAGGATCTTGTGCTCCTGCGCGTAGACATGGAAGTGCTCCGAGTCCGAGCTGACCTCCATCTGGGCAGGCCGGAGCCAGTGATCTCAGTGCTGGCCCCAGGGCCCAGGGTCTGGTCCTGCTTCTAACGGGGATGTGCCTGCAGGCTGTCTCCAGGAAGCACAGGCTGGCAGGCCCCGGGGGTCCCGTGGCTTAGTGCCCCCAGCCCGAAGCCCCCTCCTTTCTCCCAAGATGGGGTGGCTGGTAGCCAGGCTAGTGGGCACCCACTGCATAGGTGGGGAAACTGAGGCCAGGGAGGCCCACCCAGTCCCTGCCCTGGCCTGCTGACCTGTAAGCATCCACCCTGAACCCCCTGCCCACCAGCCCCGTTCCCCCATGGGTGGCCCCTGCACGGCCCAGGCCCCACCCAGGCCCCTGTCACCTCAAAGGGCTCCCCCAGGGCCAGTGGGAAGATGCTAGACACCTCCTCTGGACCCCAGCAGCCGCCCTGGAAAGCGTTGCCCACTATGGTGGCACTGGAGAACCGGGGCTTGACATGGAAGGCAATGTCCCCTGTCTCCAACAAGAAGTTAATCTCGAACCTGAGGCAGACATTGTGCAGGTCAAGAGCTGCAAACAGCCAGGCCAGCTGCCCAGCCCAAGGCCCAGGGAAGGGAGGGTGGTGCTGCTGACCTGTCTTCTCCAGAGTCAGCCTGTCCCTGGACCAGCAGGCTCCAGCCGGGGGCCAGGCCCCCTGCACAGAAGGCTTCAAACTGAGCGCAAGAGACAGGGGGGCCAGCCTTACGGGGCTGCAGCCTCCTCTCTCCCACCCACCCCCACCTGTTCAGGAGGGTCCCTGCCCACCCAGCCTGCCCCCAATCCAGTGCCAGGCACGGGCTAACACTCTGTTCCTCTAGTGTCTTTGTGACAGGGTGACCGGGGCTAGGGTGGGAGAGACATGCCTGTCCAGCAGGCCAGCTCTGGGGGACCTTCACCCTCACACCCTCTCAGCCCCAAGGTCTGATGAGAGGCCAGAGCCAGCACCCCCAGCTCTGCATAGAGAGCATGGGTAGCTCAGGGAGCCCCCAGTCCTGCCCCATTCTCCTTCCCTGAGTCCAGGGTCTCACCCACCTGCACCGCCATCTGCTCGTAGCCACTGCAGGAGGGCACGGGAAGTCCTGGGATATAGATGGGGGGTGGGGGCTGGGAGCACAGAGGCCCCACCCCTAGGTGGCTTGACAAGATCTCTGTGCCCTTCCCAACCCGTATCTCCCTCCCCCGGGCCTCTCCCTTCCAGCTGGTTCTCTGTGTAGGCACAAGAGATGGGGTCACCTGGCCCTGCCCCCCAAGCCCTTTCCTACCAGACTCTCACCCACTTTACTCCTTCAGGATCAGGGAAAGAAGCTACTCCTTTTCCACAGGAATGGCATATTCTGGGCAGGGACCCCGACCTGGCTCTTCCTCCCGGATCAGGCGTCCCTCCAGGGACTCGAACCCTCCCATCAGCTAAGGGCAGATTTGGGATGGGAGGCTTCGCTGCCGACCCCTGCCCTGGCTTCTGGGGTCCCATCTGATGGCCTGGTGCTGCAGGGCCTGTCCCCCAGCCCACCCTGGCTTCCCATGCCCAGCCCCTCAGCCCGCCCCCACCGGCTCATGGAAGCCCCCCTGTGGGGCTTAGAGCGGGGATTATGACACGCTGGTCAGCGCATTCCAGGCTCTGGCAGTCGATGGGATGGCTTTTCCCACACCCGGGATGCCTCCCCACCTCAGGCTGAGCATGGGAGGGACCAGCTGGGCCCTCAGGGAGGAGGGGAGGGTGAACAGAGAGAGGCTCAGGCTGTTGGTCAGCTTTGGGGCTCCCAAGGAAGGGAGCTGGCCTGGAGTGGACCCAGAGTGGACCTGGAATGGACCTGGAATGGACCCGGAGGACGGGGCACAGAGCCCCAGGGCTGCTGGAGCGGGTGTGTGTGCAGCCGTGTGCAGTGCGTGTGCAGTGACCTCGTGGGTGAGTGTATCCTGGCCAAATGTTGCATGACTGCGTGAGCCCCTGAGTGTGTGAGGCGTGGGGTGTGAGTTCCAGAGTGTGCCTCTGGGTGACGGGAGGGTTGCAGTTTCCCTGCCTGTGTGTCTGGAGAGGCCTGGCCCCAGGGCCGCTCCTGTCGGGATTCTTCATCCTCTCGTCTCCTCCCACTCAGTCCCTGTGTTCGAGTGGGCCCTCCTGTCCCTCATCCACAGGAGTCCCCTCCAGCGATTCTCTTTAGGCCCTGGCAGGGCTGACCTGGGTCCTGTCTGGCCTCTGCACGGGTGCTGCTCCTGGGCATGTGCCCGGCCATCCTGGCAGGAGCAGGGGGCTGCTGAGGCCAGGAGAGGCTGGGAGGTGGCCGTGGCTGTCCGACGGCCCCCTGGGTGGTGCAGCACAGTGAGCACCCGGAGGTTGTGGAGTTGCCTCTCCTTCCCGGCTCATGGCAGGGCTGGCTGTGGCCCTGCAGGGGGCGGCCCTGGGCAGCAGAGGATGAGCCTGCCTGCCTGCCCCAGCCACATTCGTGTCTTGGGGCCCAGCAGCCTGCAGGTCCCTTCTACCTGCCTCCCCCAGAGAAGCACAGAGAGGGAAACCCTCACCACAGCAGGAAGGGAAGCCAGTGCCACCTCCCTACTCCCTGTCCTGACCCCGGCCCCAGGAGCAGCCCTGGTTTCAGCTTTGGGGTGAGGACACAGAGCTGGACTCTGGATGCAGGGCCCAGGGCCAGAGCTGTGCAGAGCATGGAGTCAGGGGGCTGGAACAGGCCTCCCACCAGCTGGCAATCTGACACTCATGGCCTCCGAACCTCAATCTCCCCAGCCATGCACTGGGTGCAGCAGTCCAGCAATGCCAACGTCTGCTGTCCATGCCTGTGTCCTGGTAGGGGAGGGTGGCCCAGGCAGCCACAGCCGTGGACACAGGAGCCCGGCCATCATCTGCTCACTTTGGGGTCTGTAGGGGTACTGACTGAGGGCCTGGGTCTCGGGAGCTGCCTAGAGCCCCAGGCATCAGGGGCCCTGTGGGTGGGGCTTGAACCCCAGACTTGCCGGATAGGATGACTGTGTGCCGCTGCCTGGGCCCCCACAGCTCTCAGAAAGCTGCGTCCCTCCTACCCCTTGGGGAAAAGTAGGCTGGCCCTCGTCCCCATGGTGACACATGTACCTGGCCTGTGGGTAGACTCGTGACCTCACCCCGTTTACTGTGGCTTCAGAGCTTCTCCCTCCTGGGGTGGGAGCCAGGAGCCACCAAAGATCTCAGCAACCTGGACAACCAAGGGCCCAGAAGTCAGAACCGGGTAAGGGAAAGAGAGAGACCCCGAGCTCCACAGGCACAGCCCATCCTCAACCCTGACTCCAGGGAGTGTGGGTCCAACCACGGTCCACTTCCTGCTGTCCCAGCCTCAGGGGTCAGGGTGGCACAGTGGGCAGTGCCTGCACTGAGCTGCTGGCTGGGCACGGGCCACCGGGTGCTGTGGCTTCGGGCCCGGGAGCAAACAGACCTGTCCTCATCCTGTCCCACACACCCACCCGGATACATGGGTTTGCCCAGGGCTGTTGACCTTCGCAGGCTTCCGCCTCCACTCGGCTGGGAGAGGAACTTCACCAGGAGGGGACTGGGCTCTGGAGCCAGTTCTCAGTCCTGAGTCTCCGTCACCAGGCAGTGCCCAGCATGGAGCTGGCAGTCAGGGATGTGGGGGAGAAATCCTGCCCATCCCATAACAACCACCACCGCCTACTGAGAGCTCATGTCCTACCAGGCGCCAGGCTAAGTTGTTTACATGTGTTAAGGGTGATTCTGTTACTCCCCTCGAGAGAGGGCTACGAGAGCACAGAGATGTTAAGGGACTTGCCCAAGGTCACACAGCGAGGGAGTCACAAAAACAGGATTTGAACCCAGCAGTCTGCCCCAGAGTCTGTGCTCCTAAACACCATGCTAGACTGTTCCCTGCAAACAGAGAACCCTCTCCAGGTTGGGATATGGGGCTATCAGGGTTGGCTTCCCGGAGAAGGAGGCACCTGAAATAGATATTGAAGAATAAGTAGGAGTTAGAAGGTGGTGGTGAAGGGTGCCCCAGGGAGCAGGAACAGTAGGAGCAAGATCGGAAAGAGGGCCCAGGAGTGGGAGGCAGGGCTGTGCTGGGGGTGGGGGTGGGACCGGCCACACTGGGCACCAGGTCTGACACACCTCAGTGTCCCCAGAGCCGCCTGGCACAAGCTTCCCAGGGGCCATTTAACAAGGGTGGCGTCGTCTTTCTTGGAGCCTGGCGGAGCTTCCGTGGATTCCTGGAGTCAGGTGTCAATGTGCCCATTTGAATGATGAGAAAACTGAGGTTTGGATTGAAGAGGTCCCCCCGCGGCTCCGAAGTGAGGAGGCAGCAGAGCCAGGTGCGAATGCAGCTTCTGGACTCCCCATCTGGTGCTCCCCTTGGCCCCTGCCCTCCTCCTCTCCTGTCCCGCATTCCAGCCAGCACTGAGCACCAGCCTGGCCTGACCGTGGGTGATTCTAGGGGTCCTGGCTCAAGGGGAGACTCAGGTTAGGCTGGCCCTCTTCTCAGCCTCAGTACCCTCTGAAGCTTCCGGGACCTTCCCAGAAACCTCCTTCCCACTCCTGGCCCACATCTGGAACCGCTCATCCAGATGGCGAGGTCAGCAGAGAAATTCTCAGCCCCCGCTGGAGGAGGCAAGGGCAGCTCCTGCCAGACCAGGACAAGAGCGACCCCAGGATGGATGGCCATGCGCCAGCTCTGCCCCAGGGAGGCCCAGCTCCTCCTCCTGTCGGGCCTCGGTGCAAGCACACCCTTGGGTCAGGAGGGAGGTAAGCCGTGTGTGGAGAGGGCCAGGGCAGCTGGAAAGCACTGTGCCCTTTTTATGTGGATGGGGAAACTGAGGCCCATCCAGGAGGCGAGGGCTTGCTGGGAGCTGACAACAGCAGGGTGGCCACCAGAGCTCTGACCCCAGCACTTGCTTCCAAGCCCCTGTGGGAACTTGGTCCCATTAAAGGCTGGGGTTGGCTGGGCATGGTGGCTCACGCCTGTAATCCCAGCACTTTGAGAGACCGAGGAGGGTGGATCATGAGGTCAGGAGTTTGAGACCAGCCTGACCAACATGGTGAAATCCCCGTCTCTACTAAAAATACAAAAAAAATTAGCCAGGCTTGGTGGCATGCACAGGTAATCCCAGCTACTCAGGAGGCTGAGACAGGAGAATTGCTTGAACCTGGGAGGCAGAGGTTGCAGTGAGCAGAGATTTCACCAATGCACTCCAGTCTGGATGACAGGGCGAGATTCTATTTAAAAAAAAAAAATGACTGGGGTTGGTTGTGACTGGGGAGCACTGATCCCAGGCTGACGAGGACCCCTGGGCTCTGCAGAGGGACAGCGGGGCCCCTCACTCCCCAATACTCCCTCATCTGTCCCTTCTAAATCCTCTCACAGCTGTCCCCAGCCACCACCTGTCCGGAGTTCCTTTCTCTATGTTCAATCTTGTGGAACCTTCCTGGGTCCCTCCCTACCTCCCTCAGGACAGAGGGCACTTTCCATCAAGCCATTAATTGAGGCCCTGCTGTGCACCTGGGGCTGCCTGGGACCCTCAGAGGCTGTAAGAGAGGAGTGGTTCTGCACCTGACCCATGTGGGACCCCCGTTCCCCCATCTCACCCAGGGTGCCTGGGCAGTGCTGTGACACTGCCATCCTGGATGCAGGGCAGGTGAAGGCCTCCCAGGTACTAGAAACAAGCCAGGGAGCCCCAGCTCCTCCCAGCCCTAACAGCTATTGCTTTCAGCTGAGCCCCTGAGGTATGCTTCACTATAATAATTATATTATTATAAAATAATAAAATAATTATATTATTATTTTTTGAGGTAGAGTCTCACTCTGTCACCTAGGCTGGAGTACAGTGGCAAGATCTTGGCTCAGTGAAACCTCCACCTCCTGGATTCAAGCGATTCTCCTGCCTCAGCCTCCCATGCAACTGGGACTATAGAAATATGCTATCATGCCTCGATCAGTTTTGTCTTTTTAGTAGAGATGGGGTTTCACCATGTTGGCCAGGCTGGTCAGGTGATCCACCTGCTTCAGCTTTGGGAGGTGGTCCTCCTGCCCCACAGCCCTGATGGGGGAGCAAACCTGCTGCCCATTCCGTTATTCCGCAAATCTCTGTTGAGCACCTGCTAGGAAGTCCTGTGTGGTAGTCAATAAGATGGACAGGTGGATACAGTCCTTGCCCTCACAGAGCTTCCGGTGTCTGGGGAAGGGGCAGACACTAAATGGCAAAATCCAGCATTCCATTATTTAATTACTATTAATATTATGATAAATGCTCTGAAAGGGAAAAGATGGGGAGTGACAATCATGTATGCTGGAGGGAACTGGCCTTGATATGGGCAGTCAGGGAAGACTTCCTAGAAGAGGTGACATCAGCACAAAACCCAGAATAAAGAAGGGAAGGGTGTTTCTGGCAAAGGGAACGTCCGGTGCAAAGGCCCTGGAGTGGGAAGAGTCGGGAAGAGTGAAGGGCCTGGATGGGGATGGAGAAGATGTCCCCACCTCCACCTCTGCTGCCTGGCTGGGGTCCGGCCCTTCCTGGCTCCCTGATTAACCCTCAGTGGTCCA